TAGTAATTGGTATTATAAATTCGTAACAGGATACGATAGAAGCCAGAGAATTTCGGCCTATTGTAAGACTGCCAATATAATTCAAGAATTAATGCAAGATTTGTAGCATTGCATACCAATTGATTTTCTGAAAGTGGGAAATTAGAAGATTTTAAAGTATTTTTAAACGAGAATCAATGATTATATTTCAAAGAAAATGGATTAAATTCATTTCCTCCTTAGACACCAATTTTTCTCAAAGTCTGGTGCTTTTTAAAAAAGTTTTCACTGTTAGGTTCCATTTGGAATTAGACTGCATTACAAAACTAAAATACATAAATCGTTTTATAAAAAAAATCATGAACAATTCTCCGTTCTGTATATAATCTCCCACGAACATGGAAAAGGCATCGATCAAATGGGACAATGAACTGAGTTAAAAATCCCCTCGACAGTTGGAAATAGAAAAAAAAGAAAGCTTATGCCATTGCCTTGCCAAAATTAACATATTGCACATTGCATGGCGTTGCCAGTATTCATTAACCCAAATAGTTGCATAAGGAGTGGGCGTTTAACTCCATTCATCTCTTAATGAAAGTAAGTAACTGCGTTAAAAAGTCAGTCCATATATATTTCCAGTGGTAAGAAAATGCCATGATTCAAAGTCAGATAAAAGGGAAAAAATGATTTCATCAAATAAACTTTAATCAATTTTCACCTGAAGCTTTAGACATAATCGGATCAAATTCTAGTGATAGACTAATCATCGGCCTCAAGGACACTCTTTCACGTGCTACACGAATTAATTTCCTCCAGGAAATTTTAAGGGTTTTTAGTTATCACAAAAACCATTTTGTGACGTAACAGCTTGGTGGTGTATCGGTATAAAGTATGTAGTTTCTGAAAAAAAAATGACTTGACACCATTCAGAAAATCACATGTCAAACATTACACAACACCTAAAATAACATTACCTACTACACTTAACATAACATTACCCCACACACCTAAAGTAACATTACCTCACATAACATTACCTATTACACCTAACATAACATTACCTCACATAACATTACCTATTACATCTAACATAACATTACCTATTACACCTAACGTAACATTACCTCACATAACATTACCTATTACACCTAACATAACATTACCTATTACACCTAACATAGCATTACCTCACATAACATTACCTATTACACCTAACATAACATTACATATTACACCTAACATAGCATTACCTCACATAACATTACATATTACACCTAACATAACATTACTTCACATAACATTACCTATTACACCTAACGTAACATTACCTCACATAACATAACCTATTACACCTAACATAACATTACTTCACATAACATTACCTATTACACCTAACGTAACATTACCTCACATAACATTACCTATTACACCTAACATAACATTACCTCACATAACATAACCTCACATAACATTACCTATAACACCTTATAACATTACATATTACACCTAACGTAACATTACCTCACATAACATTACCTATTACACCTAACATAACATTACCTCACATAACATTACCTCACATAACATTAGCTATTACACCTAACGTAACATTACCTACTACACCTAACATAACATTACCTCACATAACATTACATATTACACCTAACGTAACATTACCTCACATAACATTACCTATTACACCTAACATAACATTACCTCACATAACATTACCTCACATAACATTACATATTACACCTAACGTAACATTACCTATTACACCTTACATTACATATTACACCTAACATAACATTACCTATTACACCTAACATTACATTACGAACTGTATTGATTCTTACATAATGCATATTTAAAACATTCATAAACCAAAAAATTATAGATGTTGAGTAACAGGTGATAAAAGAGATGTTACATACGATCTGATCCATTGTGTATTTCTCCTTTCAGGTCCTGTTTTCAGATCATTACATTCCATTGAATATGCCAAATTATATGAAAGGTGTAGGACTAGGTGATATGGTAGGGACTTATAATATGCCTCAAACTGTGATAGTAATACAGGAATCTTATATTAACGATGGGTTTTTGGACGGATTCCAATCCAGAAGACCGTCAGATCAGATAGAACCAGTTTTATGGATACCATTTAGAGTTGACATGTCTGATAATGATGTAAGTGAATTTTGTTTATATATTCCTACTTCAAACAGGTCCCTGGCTACATGGTACAAGGGAGAAGGGCAATGCACCCTCTCTACCGACAAAAATAGATTGCCTCTACCACACATCCCCCTGAAAAAATTTTGACAACCGACCAATTCCATTACTGAAACTAAACACCATACACTGTTGCCCCTCCTGATCTGCGATAAAACCGGTAGTGTTGATCGTCCGTCATCTGAGACTTTACGGAATGTTATGTGCTTGGGTATTGGGTAATGACCTAGGGTATTATTACTTGCTCTTGTTGGGCTCAAAGCTTTTTGATTTTCTGACTGTCACTTGAGAATCTTAAACTTGTCTACTTTGTTTTAGTGTAAAAATGTTATTCCATTTATTTTTCAGGTCGAATTACTCCTGACAGAATTGTCCATTACTGGCTGGAAGATTCTGGTACTTCATATGGATCCGCAGTGGATGTTGCGCATCGTAGAAAAATCATTGGATATGAACCTATTTCGTGCTGGCTATGCATGGTTTCTTAGTGATGTAACTTTTTCAAATGAACCATCTCTGGTGGAAAAACTTCCCGAGGGTTTGCTAGCGTTAACGAATTTTCATCTTTCGGGTTCGGAAGGTATTTTATCTAATGTGTTACGGATGTTAACCAAGATGTGCCTTTGTGTTGATTATTTGCGATCGTCTGGGATCAGTCCAGAGCTATTTGACTCCTTTATTAATCCGTCTTTTGTTGTTGATTCTCATACATCTGTAAATAAAACTATTTCTTCGGCTGACTTGTACAGGTAAGTTACTGGTTTTCTCCGTAGCAGAGAACGGTTCTTCATAACTTTGTTGGTTGGGACTGGCAATATGAAGAAATACAACGAGTTCTCTAAGACTACTCTAAAGAGCTATGCAGGAAATTCTTGAGATTTTCAGGATATTGACCCCGAGGCAGCAAAGGAATCTCAGTCGTCTGAAAAGTACTAATTGCTCAAATCACAAGTACAGATCAGGAGTAAATGTGTTTGTAGATCAGTACATTATAATTGATACGTAAGGGTTGTTTTACATTCGAACTAGACGTTATATAAATATTTATCATAAGTTAATCATAGGTGAAATTTGATATCCGCTCCTTTTTGGCATCATTAAGAATAAAGAGACGTAATAGTTTAAGGTTTTTTTTTAATTTGATATTTTCAAACCAATTGGTGGTGGTAATATTGACGTTTATGAGGCACACGGTACCGAATTTCTGTGAAAGGGGTTAGTCCGACGTTTGAGCATGAGACAAACCACATCACTGCCAAGTTATTGTTGTTACTAAGAGACTGAAAGGCATTTAAAGTCTATACAGATTGGTCTCTCGATAACGCCCATCCTGTCATCAGAAATTCCTCTTGTCATGTGGAAGCTTTGAATCCATTTCATCTTTTTTTTTTACTTCGCAGACGACAATCCAACTCTCGTCTTATCAATAAGATATTTTTCCTAGCTAATTGTATTAAGGTAATTTTTATCACACAAAACACATTTGAACATTACATTAGTGCGGTGATTTCAACGAGGCTTTTCCCATGACAGATATACTTAGCTTGATGAATAGCCCCAAGAGTGGAAGTATTTTTAGAAGTCTCTAGGACGTTAAGCCAACCTAATGTTTGTCGTCTGACCCTCATATTACATTCGGGTCAAGTGAGGAAACAATCCATTAAACAATCCATCTTTTCAAGTCATGTGTCAGCATTTTGATTTACTGCTTGAAAACTGAGCTGGTTTGGGTTAATGTCTTTGATAGAAACTACGTTAATTAATAGAATCTTTAATGTATTAAAAGTGCTTAATGACGATAAAACCTATTGAGGCTATTTGAACTATAGTATCATTAGTTAAATTAGTTTACTCGTCGATTTGAAATCCTCGATGGCGTTTCCAGATACTCTTGTTTGATATACTTCAAAGGTTTCTAGAAATGGATTTGATTGAAAGGTATTGGGTGCTAATTCATATGCCCTAATTAGGTCATTTCCGCTATCAATCCCCTTCCGGTTTAATCGAAAATGTGTAAAAATGTTTTTGCTAAAATAGGTCATAACAAAACTGTCAAACCAGAAAATTTGAGCCCCACTCTACAACTCTTTCCTCAATTGACAAAGTTTTTAATTTCAAATCAAGAACTTATTTGGTAAAACGAGTTCAATGATAATACTTCCCAAGTCTTTGAACAAAAAAGTACAGCCGCTATACAAAATTAATAAAATAAAGTCTTGTACATATCAATAACGTCTCAAAATGAATTTTCTCTAATCATGGATTATTTAAAATAATTTGTTATAGTAATACAAAAGATGTGAATTGTGAATTCCTAGATCATCGGACACCTTATTTTTAATAATATGTTGTTTCATTTATTCTGTTTCAGGTATTTAATTCATGCATCTGCTTGTTTCAATGAGACAGAACCGGAAGTGAACAGCACACTGATGGCCTCTGGTGAAGCTTTTCATTTGGTAAATCTTGTAGAGAAGAGAGGTCGCGGTAAACATTGGGAAGTTGTAGGATACATCACTATCGACGGACTCAGTGACTTAAAGACAGTTTTATGGCCGGGAAATACAATATTTGGTCCATCGTCGAACAACATGAAAACTTACCGCGTTGTGACCAAGCCCGCCAAACCTTTTGTCTTCATAAGTGCAGCTGTGAATCATCCGGGTGATTGTCAATCGGAAATACCGTGTATCGAAGTGTCAAATAGTTCACATCACCATGTGGCGGCCATGATAGAAGATTTCCTCACTGCCAGAACTTGTATGAATAAAGTTTACAGTGTCCATTGTTGTAGCGGTTTATCCATTGAGCTCCTTTCCAAACTTTCAGTTGATATCAAATTTGCCTTTGTTTTGTATTTTACCAATGATACAAACTATGGAGCCTTTGAAAATGACACGTGGACAGGTCTGGTGGGTGACGTTGTACACGGAGCAGCCGATATCATTGCAGGCGCTTTCAGTGTGACGTCATCACGTTTTGGAGCTATATCCTATTCCGAGCCTTATTTTCAAAGTGACTATGCAATGGTGACGAGTGCGGACGGTCGTTCGACATCTATGTGGGCTTTCCTTAAACCATTTTCTTTTGAAGTGTGGATTTGTATATTACTTGGATCAATCGTTGCTGGCATAGCTACCTCTGTGTTAGAATGGCATAGTCCATTCGGATTAAATCCCAAAGGACGTAAACGAGAAAAAAACTACGGATTGGGTTCAGGATTGTTGATGGTGTGTGTTTTGATTACGGGTCATACTGTCAATGTCAAGGCCCCTAAAAGTTGGCCTGGTAAGGTCATCCAGAACGTTTGGGCTGGGTTAGCTATATTTATCATGACAAGCTATACTGCTAATTTAGCAGCCTATTTGGCCGGGCAATCAGCTGTGATTCTCATCTCAAGTATTTATGACTCTAAGGTAAGTATTAGATAAACTGCAGTACAATATATAGCGAGCGAAGTACGGACTGTGAAACAAACCAAATCGTAATATCTTCTTTTCAGTTGAATTACAGGCAATTTCAAGGATCAGGGTAAAGTTCTTAGATAAATGATAAATCCTTTGATTATGATTGTTCAGATAGCAAAACAATGGATAATTCCGATAAAAACTCAATCTTTCGTGCACGTTTTTACAAAATCCCGGGAAAAAACGAAGCCTTCAATCCGATATTCCGAGAGGTCACCAAACTCTGTAGGCATACCAAGTTTGAATGAAACCAGTTGAGAACTCTACGAGTCATGTTCTCAGAACAAGTCTTGGTAATGTCGCTATACATATTTGATGCTCCATAATTGGAATCGTTTGAAATTTATTAATCAGAATGCTAAATCAGTTTCACAAGTAACAGTAAATTATTAATGTTTATGATATCGCCAAAGCGTAGTTTCAAAAACTTGATAAAAAACAGAAAACACAAAATTTCTATCATTGTACTTGTTGGAAATTTTATTAAGATCGACATCAAAATTCGAATATGATCGAAATTGGAATGAAAAGTCGGGGAATCGTACTTCACCATTAAATAACATTATGATTTGTCACACGTATCAAGGAAGTCAACTTAATGAAATAATTATGCTATTCCACGTCTCTCTATTTTCCAATTTCCAGTTTATTTTTCTCTTTTGCTGTCTTTCAATGATTGTATTTGTCTGTAACTGTCAGGGGCCTATCAATATTATCAGTAAGGAATTAATTTAAGTGAAAATATACAGTGCAAATTTGTAGATGCACTTTTGACGGAACAACTAATAAAATATGAATCTATTTTTTTGAATCGCAAGAATGATAAACGTGGCATGTATATGACATTCATTAAAGTTTGGATTATTGAAACACTATAAAAAAAATTTCTCAGAAATATCTAATGGCCAATGATTGACATCATGATCAACCCATTTAAGGATGATATATAATTTTTTGACACAATATGACAAAATATTATTAACGTGTAAGAAAAATTTGATTATCGCAAATACTGCAGATTAAGTTCATGTTGTTTCTTATGACAGACCAACGAAACACATGATATATAATGGTGACCTTACACCATAGCGATTACCAGTTGCGTATGGTTGCTAATAATGAAAGTGGCCATGAATGCATTTCACAACTTAGGTACGTAAGGCTACCTTCCTAGTTCTGACGGGTCTTTGTCATTTAATCTTACTGAGATACGTGTTTTGTTTTACAGTTGCTGTCCAAAAAAGTATCATTGATCGAGTCAAGTTCTGTAGAATTTTTCTTGAACATTATTAACCCAGATTTAATACGAAATGTGGGTCAGAATTATGTTACCTCTACTGACACTGCTATATTTATGTTGAGGTAAGTACATTCTAAGAGACAAAGATTTGTTATTTCCGGGAGATGTTATATCATACATGTACCTGCAATTAATAGAGCAGCAAAGCCAATTCCACAAAACTGAAGTGTTTAGAAATAGACATTGGCAATTGGATCTTTTAAAGTTTGTCTTTTTATTTGAAATTTAAATACTCAGCGTGTGTTGTGTCTTAGTGTTTCAAGCGCTGCGTGTGTGTATCTGCACCTTCTGTTTCCCGACTGAACTTAAATTAATATAATAATATAATATAATAATATTTATTTTTCTGTAAACAATATTTTATAAATAAGAAATGCATCAGGGAACAGACTTTATAACCGTTTTCTTAATAATATATAAAGTCATGCAATACTTGTTTAATCTGGTGTCATATATTTTTCAGAAATCGTGAAATAGATGTCTATGTTGATGATACTCCATTGTTAGAATACGCTGTATCCAGATTAGATAAAGACTGCACTGTAAGATTTGTTGGAAAGGGATTCGGATCAGATGGCTATGCGTTTGGATTACCAAAGTTCTCCTGGCTCCAGGTAATAATGATATAGAGTTGGGTGTTCCAATGCAGATTAACATAGTTTTCAACTTTTGGAGCTTGGTTGGTCAACCCGATATCCTGATTTTCCAAGATACCTTATTGTACAGGAGGCACACTATAACGATTCTTCGACAGTTGAAATTCCAAACTATGAAGCTAATGTATGTTGCCATTGTGTGTTGACCACTATATCTCTTGATCTGTCGTGAATTATCCCAACTCGCTGATGTTATGAGGATAAAATTACATTTATTCTGGATCACTGGACATTCATTTGTCGGCGATAAGAAACATCCCAAGAGTACTGCCAATCAACTTACGATACAGTACGATAACGTTCACATACACTGGTTGAACTAATTATAGGATGCATTGGAATAATTTTTTATGGGTTTCATCTCTGATATTTCATTTATTTTCAAGTGAATTTCATTGATTGGTGATCTGAAACGCTGCTAGGAATTACACATCGACAAAGAATTAATCGCGTTGATTTCAATCGATTGGCTTGGAAATTATAACCAATTATTTTTTATTCTGGATCGAGACATTTTGGATTTCATTGCAATTATGTTTTGCAATAAATTGTGATATTTGAACTATACATAAATTACGTGGATAGAAAGGGATAATTGCCATGAGAAAATTGGCAGATGGAAATAGTTGGTAATTCAAGTATTGGAAAAATATTCTTTTCCTTTGGTCCATAAGCGGCTTAAAGAAATATGCATAAGGGAAATTTTCGGCAAAACGTTCGATTTTCCTTAGCCCTAAGTATTCGCCCAGAATGTCGCTTAAAGGGTGACCAAAAAATTGAACTTTTTAAACTTAGCCAAACAGTAGGACTTACCTGGTGTCAAAACTATACGACAGATTCCCTCTTTTATGCAGCAAATCCGTAAAACTAAGTAATAATCCGTTTAAGTAATTTTAAAACACTCTTAGAAGCGTTTTTCAATTACTGCTTAGTTTAATGGATATATCGTCTATTTTATTGTTTATTCATGACACCTGGTAAGTCAAACTGATGAATATATTAATATTCTCATTGACCGAGTTTGTGACTTTAAATTTTATATCCATTCTAAGATGTAGTATTCGTGAAAGGAAAGACAATGAACAATTTAATAGATTTAAGGTTAATTTTAGGCCTTTTTCGAGTATTTCATAGTTGTGGTTTGCGAGCTAATGTAGATTATTTCCCGTTTCTCAAGTAGATCCCTGCATCTTTAAAGAGCATGGTTAAATTCTTCTCAAATTTCTTGATAACTGCATCCTCAAACATGTTAGCAAGGCAATGATTTATCAAGTTAAGGAAATTTCTATTTGATTTTTTCGTGGGTCATTTATCAGACAACTAGCGTTTAGAGAAATCAACTGCCGTGAAAGTAAACGATTTTTTTTTACAGGAAATTACTTTAAATTGATTTTCTTAAAAGACAAGCCGTTGAAGACTGATTTTACACTGTTAAAGTGAAGAGTATTTTTTCCGTCTTTCAATTTTATTTTCAAGTGGCGTAAAAGTTCGTAATGCTTCTTCCATTGATTTTTAACAATTGGTTTCGGAATAATCTTGATAGGCTTCTAGTATTTTTAAAGAGTTTCATAGAAAAGATATATTTACATTTGAATCCGTAGAAAGTTTAAAAAAAATAATTTTCTCTGATTTTCGAGAATGTTGGCAAAATGATAAAATTGATAAGAAGAAATTGCTTCGGCCATCTTATATTTTCTGCACTATTTAGTTTTACTCACAGCACCAGGCAATCGAGAAATCAATGATGATAAAGTTTAAACTGGGGGTGAGGGGAAAGTTCCTTCCGCGCTTTTGCTAAATGTTACATCTATAATTTGACGAGATTCTAAACGAAACACCCGGATTTGTATTTTTGACCAGATTGACTAATTTGATCTTTCCAGTAACTACTACGGTAGCACTCAACGAGTTTAACAAGTGACGGTAAATTAAACTTGTTAATTAAAGACTAGATGTTCGGCTCGTAAAACTATAAGAAATCAAGATGAAGGAAACGGTAACATGTTTTGGACTAAAAAAAACAACAGCATATATCTAGATCGACTTTCAAAAAAGTAATTTGTCAACTTCAGTTGGTGGTAATTTATTTGAAGTGACGGATCAGTCTGATATCCAAATTTAGTTTACTAACTTCAACAATGAAACCAATACGTCAGTCCGAAATTATAGTCAGCTATTGTTTATTTTGGTATTTTAATAACACACCGTGAGATCGATGACTCTACTGGTTGACGACGCCGTCTCCGAGACTTATTCAGCCTAGTGGATCTTTCACAAATCTGTACTTCAAGAAATTCCTTGTGAAGTTTCTTTCATCTGAAAGCTATTACAAACCAAGTTGTACAAAGTTCTAACAGCTTGGCATTTTGAACATGTGTTACTTTTTAAGTAACGCCCTTCCTTAGGACAAACTTTAAAAACTTCAAATGAATGTCCTATTTAGATTATTATTGAAAGCAAGAAAGACGCTTACAAACTAAGGGTATTGGAATTACATTTTAGGGGACTGTGTGAGGGTCCTATGACGACCCCATCCCCCATCCATGCTTGTTTGATTCTCTCTAATGAGTTTTTTTTGTCTTTCCAGGTTCCAATGTCAAATAAAATTCTTCATTATGTGGAATCGGGATATATCCAAGACCTAAGCAGAAAATATATTTCCAGACCCAAATGTGAACACTTCTTTGCGAACAGTCCATTTCAATATAGTTTGGAACATACGGGTGGTTTGTTCATCATTCTACTTAGTGCAGTTGTATTTAGCATCTTTTTGTTGCTTGGGGAACATATGATATACAAATTTGTGGTTCCTTGGTTACGAAGGAAACCGGAAGGAAGTGGCTGGCGAGGAGATCATCTATATTTTTTCAGTCAGGTAAGCGTTACTATGATAATGATTTTTTCCATATGTTTCAGTTCAGAATAAATCAAAACAAAAATGAAATATTAAGGATTTCTTTATTAGAAATATAAAAAACAGAACCAGGGACTAGAACAGGTTCTACTTGTCAAACTAAAATGCTGAAATTGATCAGTTTTCTGAAGATCGCACAGCGTGAAAATCTGAGTAACAAAGTGTTTCAGGTTTTGTTTTAAAATCTCAATATCACTCTACAATTTGATGTTTTGATAAAAAAAAAAACAATTCGCGACATTTGAATATGCCCACCACTGCCATATTCCATGTTATGTGAGTAGGCTTCTAACAAAATATTTGTGCCCGATGGTAGAACTCTATCCTTTATTATTACTCTGAACACAAAGCTGAATCTTTGCTTGATGTGGTGTTGTTGCTGTACATGATTTATCTGATCTTCCAGAGATTATCCAGAGTTGTTCGTAGTGAAAGATTATACTCTCAGAAACAAGCAGCACAAGAGATGATGACAATAGTCCGTACTGGAGACTTTACCAGAATTTTACAAAAGAATGAATTACAAAAAAGAGTAAGTAGAATCTAGGGCTTTGTTATGATGATCCGAACTGCTGAACAAAACCCACAATAACAGTTTAGCTATTCATATGAGTAATTATTTCATGATGAAAAGTGGTATCTGGTGTAAGCAGGGGTTAAGCATATCCCACCTAGCGCCTGAATATGTTTTGTTCAAAGCTGCATAATTTTTGTTGAACGTATATTCCAGTCCTCTTTCTATATCAATTAGGAAAGGGTGGTCATGCTCGAAACATCCTTATGGGTACCTTCAAACCATTTTAGCCCAAACATTTCTTTAAAGAATTTAAAACCTAACGTGAAAATTCTATTTTTTCCAGAAAATACCCCCACCAAAGAAAGAAAAGACTAGAGCCGAAATGTTTCAAGAATTAACTTCTAATATTGTTAGGTAAGTTATAAGCAATGCAGACCTAAATCTTGTAAGGATTTCTCGCCACAACAGTAGCCTGTTGTATATGTAATATCAGTCAGTTAGCTTAATTGGGGCAGAACTATTTTTCGTCTTCCGTATATCAAATGGCAGCATGAAATTTACATGTAAAGATGGCTTTCCTTGTTGTTTAGTGTCAAATTAAGCAAAACATTTGATTAATTGGAGTTTCTAATGAATTATCATATATTCTTATTCATCATATCATTATGTTCCTATTGCATATAATTAAGACTTTTAACCAATCATGTCCGTGAATGTGGATAAACAAAAAAAAAGAAAGACTTTTTGACCTTTCTTGAGCCGTCACTCATTGGAATTCTGCTGTTAATTCTCTGCTAATTTAGCTAATTATGAATGTGGACATGTGAGGCAAACTGGAATTTTTTGAAATCATTAGAACACCTCTACTTTCTATTCATATAAGTATTAGCATTTTCATTTTCATGAATGAAAATAAGGGAACCCATGTTTAAGATGTAATAATTTCCATAAAGCGTTTGTAGTACTATTATACCAAATAGACATCATATGTGCACTATGGAGACATTGATGATCATTCATATTTATTTTTCTCTCTAGTTATCAACGTCAATTAAAATCTGATACATCAGAAGACCATTCAGACGAGGTTCAAGATGATACTGAAGTTGATCCAGAAGAGATCTCAGCTGAAATTCATGTTGAAGATGAAGAAGACTCCAGTGGTGTCGCTAATTTAGGATACCGTGAAGACGAAGCATCTTCAGACGTCGATGAAATTTCCACAGACATTGCAGAAAGCCTAGAAAGCAGTCCTCAACGCCGTCCAAACCATAGATTATGCAAAAGGTTTTCAACTTGGCCGTCCGGATTAGTAGTCTATGCCGATACGGGGAATGTGCCAGAAAATAAAAGGAAGCAAAGTTCTATGTCTACAGGAACCACGCCAACTACTGAACCCTTATCTCCCAGCAAAATATGGGTGATTTCAGACGGTAAAGTCATCAAAGATTCTAAAGTTGCAGTTCAATTGCCGAAACCGATTGAAAATGAACGAACTTCTTCTCCGATGCGTAAATATTCGGACAGTAACGTAGATTTGTCGAAACTTCGTGTTGAGCACCCACCAAATAATGCCAAACGTAGCAAAAGCTATGACTACCAGTCGCAGGGAGATTATTTCAAACGAAACCTGAAAATGAAAGACAACCGTGTGAAATCGACTATAAGGAGGCATGCATTATCAGGTTTTCAGTCTCAAATACCTGTCGACTATTTAGATGATTGTACTGTTGAAGCTTTGTCCAAAGAAGATCTAATGATTTTGTGGAAAAAGTCTGAGATTGAGATGCAGCGACGTCTAAACGAAGTCCTTGTTCGAAACCGGCGTTTATCTGTAGCAATTGACTATCTTGCTAAACATCAAGGTGACCATGAACATGCTGAAGAAGTCTGATAGAATTCTTGGAAGAATTTTGGATCCAGTCTAAAACTTTGGTGTGTTGGCTCGTTCTTTAACACAAAAAGTCTCCGCCGAATGTGATTCAAAGAGAGGAATTACATGAGAGTACAGGTTACTATTTTGCAAGGTTTGACCAAAGCGGTAGGAATGCACAAATTGCTACTTGATTGATTCGAGGTCCACAGAGACATGAAAAATTGATTCGGGCACGAAACGTTATTTTATAGTAATAGTATGATATATAAATAAAGTGTAATTAACATTAGTTTTGTTTTTAATTTGTCAGTGGATTCCAGATGGAGCTATTCGATAAAGAATTCTTGGAGATTTATTCAACCAACTTTTAGCATTGATTTCGATTGGTTAGAATAATACTAGACAATTTGAAATATTCGAAGAATATCCTCAGACCATGGATGGCAAATGAAGTCTCCAGTCACGAGCAGAGATGAAATATCTAGATCTGTTTTTAATTGGATTATAATAATGTCCAATGGTTGATTTTGAAGTGTTTTATTTTCGTGTTCCATAATTTGCAATTTGTCGAGCACCCAGTTTTATATGAGGTATAGTGTGCGTGGATGTAGTTTTCTTTGACGCAAAATATAGCTTAAGATCCGTAGTAGGAGTTATGTGATAGATGTCCATTTCACCTACCTATCATTTTGTACAAGCTATTTCCAATGCTGCGAAGTCCTGTATCGAAAATCCATAATCAATGATTATTAGTTCTATTTGAAATTTTCAAAATTAATGTTTAGAATGTGATGTTTTTAGCTATAATATGCATTAACAGAGAATTTAATTCAAAACTATACAAGAATAGGTTATTATTGCCATTTGTATATATACCTTATTTACATGGCTTTTACAAAAATGTGTTAATTGTAAATTTCAGAAGAGAAATTATTTTGATTGTGCATCTTTTGATTTATAAAAGAACAGTGTTAATCTTAGCTATCAAAATATATACAAGAACAGGTTTATTTGGCTTTGTTTAATTTATACAAGAACAGGTTTGTTTGGCGTTGTTTAATTTATACAAGAACAGGTTTATTTGGCTTTATTTAATTCATACAAGAACAGGTTTGTTTGGCTTTGTTTAATTTATACAAGAACAGGTTTGTTTGGCTTTGTTTAATTTATACAAGAACAGGTTTATTTGGCTTTGTTTAATTTATACAAGAACAGGTTTTTTTGGCTTTGTTTATTTTTTACAAGAACGGTGTTTATTTGGCTTTGTTTAATTTATACAAGAACGGTGTTTATTTGGCTTTGTTTAAGTTATACAAGAACAGGTTTATTTGTCTTTGTTTAATTTATACAAGAACGGTGTTTATTTGGCTTTGTTTAAGTTATACAAGAACAGGTTTATTTGGCTTTGTTTAATTTATACAAGAACGGTGTTTATTTGGCTTTGTTTAAGTTATACAAGAACAGTGTTTATTTGGCTTTGTTTAATTCATACAAGAACAGGTTTATTTGGCTTTGTATAATTTACACAGGAACAGGCTTATTTGGCTTTGTTTAATTTATAAAAGAACTGTGTTTATTTCAGCTTTTTTAAATTTATACAAGAACATGTTTATTGCAACTATTATAATTTATACAAGAACAATATTTATTTGAACTATTAAATAGTCATACAATAACAATGTTTATTGTAACTATTTAATATTTATACAAGAACAATGTTTATTGTAACTATTATAATTTATACAAGAACAATGTTTATTGTAACTATTACAATTTATACAATAACAATGTTTATTGTAACTATTATAATTCATACAAGAACAATGTTTATTGTAACTATTATAATTCATACAAGAACAATGTTTATTGTAACTATTTAATATTTATACAAGAACAATGTTTATTGTAACTATTATAATTTATACAAGAACAATGTTTATTGTAACTATTATAATTTATACAAGAACAATGTTAATTTTTGTTATTTAATATTTATTCAAGGACAATGTTAATTTTTGTTATTTAATATTTATTCAAGAACAATGTTTATTGGAACTATTTAATATTTATACAAAGCCAATGTTAATTTTTGTTATTTAATATTTATTCAAGGACAATGTTAATTTTTGTTATTTAATATTTATTCAAGAACAATGTTTATTGGAACTATTTAATATTTATACAAGGACAATGTTAGTTTTTGTTATTTAATATTTATTCAAGGACAATGTTAATTTTTGTTATTTAATTATTTAATATTTATTCAAGAACAGTGTTTATTGGAACTATTTAATATTTATACAAGGACAATGTTAATTTTTGTTATTTAATATTTATTCAAGGACAATGTTAGTTTTTGTTATTTAATATTTATTCAAGGACAATGTTAATTTTTGTTATTTAATTATTTAATATTTATTCAAGAACAGTGTTTATTGGAACTATTTAATATTTATACAAGGACAATGTTAATTTTTGTTATTTAATATTTATACAAGAACGGGGTTTATGTATTTA